CTGGTTGAAGGAATCTGGGTGTGACCCTAGATAACAACCTGTCCTTCACTGCAAACATCGCTGCTACAACCCGTTGCTGCAGATACACGCTTTACAACATCAGGAAGATACGTCCCCAGCTGACTCAGAAAGCGACTCAGGTTCTGGTCCAGGCTCTCGTCATCTCACGCCTAGACTACTGCAACTCCCTCCTGGCTGGTCTACCTGCATGTGCCATCCGACCTCTGCAGCTCATCCAGAATGCAGCGGCTCGTCTGGTCTTCAACCTTCCTAAATTCTCCCACACCACTCCGCTCCTTCGCTCCCTTCACTGGCTTCCGGTAACTGCTAGAATCCACTTCAAGACACTGGTACTTGCGTACCATGCTGCGAATGGATCTGGCCCTTCCTACATCCAGGACATGGTTAAACCGTACACCCCAGCGCGTGCACTACGCTCTGCATCAGCCAAACGACTCGTTGCGCCCTCGCTGCGAGGGGGACCCAAGTTCCCATCGGCGAAAACACGTGGGTTTGCTATCCTGGCTCCAAGATGGTGGAATGAGCTCCCCGTTGACATCAGGACGGCAGATAGCTTGCACATCTTCCGGCGCAAACTGAAAACTCATCTCTTTCGACTCCACTTCGAGCGTTAGAACGATTAACGAAGCACTTTTATACTAATAAAGGACTGGATTACCTAAAGCCAGTTGAGTAGCACTTGAAATGTTTGGCTCTATGAAACCTGATATACTTATATGATTCTGTTTTCTTCAAGGTTGTGTCTTCCTGGTCGAATGTACTTATTGTAAGTCGCTTTGGACAAAAGCGTCAGCTAAATGCAATGTAATGTAATGTAATGTAACTTTGTGTCCAGTGCCTTTGTCCGAAGATCTCCCAGCTCTGTTGTGTTCTGTCTCAGAACATCCTCCATCCTCTCGATGTCCTCCATCGTTAAATCAGTCTGGCATCCTGCATCTGCATACAATATAGCAGTAGCAAGCATAATTAGTTATTTAAAATAGTCAAATATGAATGTGAATTTTTGTGAAGTTATCTTTTTGACAACCTTTTTACAGACATGCAAGTTCTCTGTTCCAATTATTGCAGATTCTCAAATTAGTGCTCTATTTTCTAAACCTAATTCAAAGTTAGCATTGATTTTCTGACAATCACATTTGTAATATTTAATAATAATGCTGGTGGTTAATTTACCTTGTTGGTCATTTAATATCCCACTGGTGTCCTCTGGTTGTGGGCTGTCAGACGGGGGCTGCGTCGGTTCTGGGCTCTCGGTTGTCTGCAGGAGATCCAACAAAGCCTCTGCACATTCTGATTGTCTTTGTTGGTCTTCCTTGAGCTCCATCCTCTGCTCTCGTCGAAGAGATGCCTCTGATCTGGGCTTACTTGTTGTGTGGTAACCGAGGCTAACAGTGGGAGCCCAGTCTACCGACTCAACGTCACCCAAAGCGCTAGGGCACCCTAAAAAGTCCCAACAAAGTCCATATTAGACTACAGGTAACTTAAACATGATCAGTATTACTAAGTAAATACGCATTTAACCACAACCCAATAATACCTAAACAAAGCCACAAAAACCAAGTTAGCTAATACCTCTGATGAAGTGGTCGCTGCAGACCCGTGCATTAGACGACTCTGCTCCTCCCGACCGCAGATGTAGGTTTGAAAGCCATTTTTTCCGGCGTTTTTCGGTTAGCTTCTTAAATTGCTCAGCTTTATGGACGACAACCTTCGGCACTCGGTAAAACCTCTTGTTTTTCTCTCGGCCGGATCGATTGGAACAACCGTAAACTACACAACACACCGGCATTTTCACAATGGTAACAGCAGCTAGATCCTCTGTAGAAAATTACTTCCTGACCTCCAATGGAATTTCGCGCCAAAGGAACGCAGCGGTGTGACGTCACGTGAAACCAAGCCAAATTGACGACTTTAATCTGAGGACCAAAATCTTCTGCATCACATTTCCCATCAATGATCAAATATTTAACTCAATGTATTGTCCTTACTTTCATTGATGCGGTTGCTATCATTAGCCACAAACCGTTAGCTTAACCGTTAGCAGTTTGAAAACAAACCATGAGATAACAAGTCTTCTTCCTTTTTTACCTTTTCGTCTTGACTTCCACATTATTTCTGTAGGGACTGAGTATCTTCAGTACACAAACTAAAAAGGAATAACATATTTAACTGTGTTTGACCTTCTCTGAAAAGGTTGGGTTGAAGCTCAGAGTTATAAAATATGCACATTCTCATGTTGCTTGCTCCCATGTGGGTGTAGGTTAACTCTGATGTTACTGACTTTCATGTCACACCATCTAGATTTAATAATTACACATTTTGTTATGGTAAAACATTCCTGGTGTTCATCTGCTTCTTCTTCTCATCAAAGTTTCAGCATCATTGTTTTCAATGTAGCCTACTGCAGATGTGGAAGACTAGGAGAAAATATACGATATTCAATTCTATGGAAAATATATTTATCCTGTAGTACACAATAAATACCATTAAATACCAGTCTACTCATATCTTATAGGCAGAGGTTGAAGAAGTACTCAGATTAATTAATTAAGTAAAAGTAGCAATACTTGGGTTTATTTGAATCACTTTATCATTATTTGAGTAGCTTAACCTATTATAATATAAGATAATGTTTTAGTTGATTTACATTTTGTATTAATGACCTAAATCTGCAAATTAACTAAATATATCAACTGAATGTAATAGAGTGAAAAGTACAACATTTGCTCACAAAATGTAGTGGACTTGAGGAGGTAAACTAGAATAACATGAAAATGCTTAAGTAAAGTACAAGTAGGCCTACCTCAACTTTTTACTTGAGTAAATTTACTTAGTTACATTCCATCACTGCTTATAGGCCAGACAATAATATTATTACTTACACTACTGTTGAGTAAAAGTACAAAAGTATAAGTAGGACATGAAAAACCTGGCTTCATGCCAACCAAATGTACCTCCCTCAAGGCCCACCATTTAGAAATTGACTTTGATTCAAATTAGAAAAGGCAACCTTAAAAGCTCTGTGTGCTCCTGCTGACCTAAAGACAATTATACTATATGCCTTTGGAGTTGGTTAAAAAAAGCAGTTGCTGGGCTTTTAGGTGTAACATCGTTAGACCGTAAATGTTGTCATCCCTCCACCGGTTGCTTTAACAATTTAATTTAAGCTTTTACTGATGAATTATGAGGTACTTTAAGGTCATAAAAACAAGTCGAAGCCAATCCATTAAGTGCTTCAGCGAGTATTTGGTGCATTGTTATAGCACTCTGTACTTCTTTAAATGTATATATGGTGCCCTAAAACCATCTTAACATTTGTTATGGTAGAAATAATAAGATCAAATGCTGATCTAACAAGACACATAGTGGCTCTTTGTGGCTCTACTCGAGCAGAGCTGAGCTAAACGAAAAGTTAAGAGATCCGTTTTTACAATTCATCCTTCGGTGGAAGATTACCAAATATTATATCCGTCCGGGTCATATACTAACTAGGGCCGGGACTCGATTAAAAAAAATAATCTAATTAATTAGAGGCTTTGTAATTAATTAATCGAAATTAATCGCATTTTTAATCACATATAAATATTTGACCTAAGAACAGTGAGAAGCAATTTTTTTCACATGGATTTTAGTATACCATTAGGCGCATTCACACCGCAGTACTTTTCCCACAAAGGTTCATGAGAACTTAGTTCATGAGAACTCTTTGAACCTGGGGGTGGATTAGGCAAATGAAGCCGCTGACGTCACTTCTTCTTCTTCTGCTTTGGGTTTACTGGCAGGCCGCAAACCACTTCACGGCGTATACTGCCGCCCAAAGTCCCCGGCCGGAAGTCCCCGGAGTTGGGGACTGGCTTCAGTAGAAGCTGCTGGGACTCCCAGCAGCTTCTACTGAAGCCTTCCGAGTAAATCGCCAGAACGCCGACACCTCCTCATCTCCACCGCTCCCATGTTTTATTTTGTGTTGCCATAAGTTAGTCTCTCTGCGTTGGGCTAATGCTAATAATGCTAATGCGAGGATAATAAAATGGCGGCTTCACAAAACTTTTTGGGAGTTTTACGGGGCGTGGTTTGCAATCCGCCCAGCCAATCAGAAATATAGCTATTTTCTCACAAGAGAGCCGCATGAAAGTCCCTGCTCTCTAGCAGCTCTCTGCTCTCTAGCAGGGACTTTCGTGGGGGTAAAAAGGTTCTCATGAACTAATTTTAGTACCGGCTCTTTTTGGTGTGAACGCGATAAAAGAGGCTAACGTCCACGCTAGCTTCCACGCTAGCTGCTATATGTTTTGCATTGAGGTGATACTTGAGGCTTGATGTGCTGCGGTGATATGCGAATTCCTTTTTGCATAATTTGCACACAACCGTGCTCTTATCGACGCTTCCATCCGTCCGTTTTTTAAAACAACATTTCCCACTGTTGTTCACTGTGGTTTGTTGTTGTCTGAAGTCATGAACGTTAGTTGGTGCTCCAGTATAATCGGTACGCCTGAAACTCATCCAGTGAGAAACGTTCCGCGGTGCAAAAATAAGTGCGATTAAAATGCGTTAATTTTTGTGTAATTAATTAATCTTAATTAACGCGTTAAAGTCCCGGCCCTAATACTAACATACCATTCCTATTTAGAATGTAGTCAAATTGAGTATGTAGTGATATTGCAGGTGCTGCATAGTACATATACAAATATTTGCCTTTTTAATTGTATATTTAGTAGGCAGTATGCAGTACATACTGAATAAGTATGTGGGAGGCAGTGTGACTTAATGCAGTCGTATTTAAACCGTGCATATCAGCCTGTTTGTGGTCAGGGGAAGACATTAGCATGGACCCTCTCTGCACCTTGAGTTTTAGTATCAAGGTTAATGACAAGTCATGCAATAATTGACGAGACATTTAGCTAAAAATAATCAATTTAGAAGGAAGAGAGGATCATCGTCTGGGGATCATGAGTGTCGTTGAGATATTTCACTTAAAAGTGGTAAAAACTTGAGGCTTTTTAATTAAAATTATACTGATGCAGTCATCAGGCCCCCTGTATCGTTGGAAAGAGAAGTGCAGGGTGAATATTATGAAAAACAGATCAAAATGCAGACATAAAAGAGACACAGAAGGGAATTTCAAGCTGTAGAGCAGTGGATGTCTTTCTTTGCTTTCCTCTACTTAACTAACATATTCAACAAAACTAAATCTCAATATCTTAATTTAAATGTACATTTTGTACTTTTATTAAAATATGTTACTCCGTCATTTCCCCCACACAACTATGCATAGAAAGACCTTGAGGCAAGAATGTGCCACAGTTTGTTTTTAGGTGTTGAAAAAATATAAAACACGCTTCACAATATAAAAAAAATGCACTGCCCCACTTCCCCTTTACAAATAAATGTACTCCACAAGGAGCCACATAATAGCACCGTGATGAATAACACTCCAGTATACATCTGATAACAGAAAATCATAACAACAAAATTACAACAACATACAAAAACAAGACAGCAAATTGAGGTTGGATGATATAACAGAAAAACATGGTGGGTGAATGTTGCTGAAATGTGGTGTTTTTGTATTTTTCAGGATAATTCAGTAATAATAAGGTTTGGTGAAAGGTCTTTTATGGATGGGAATGAGTGCATAGATCAATAAATGCATAAACAGACAAGGATAAAACAGTGAGAGCACCACTTCTTGAAAGAGGAAAGACAGACAAATGAAATGTGTGTAACTGAGGATGTGTCAATACATTTACGCTTCACTGCTCTCGAAAACAAGATATGCAAGTCAGTTGTGAGAATGCATGAGCTGAATAAGATGAATTAAGGAGAGTGAATAAATGTCCGTATGACAGAATGTTTACACGAAGGAACACTGTTGTAGGTAAATCTACTTATAAATATGTGGCACCAGGTAAGTCTTGAATGTAGTTTTCTCCCTGCATGTAAAAAGTGTCCATGGCTCTTTTCACAATTAAATTACTCCTGTTGTAATCTCCTCCGGCTTGTTAACCGTTGTAGCAGACCGGCCCGACTTGGAAACCGAATTTCTGGTTCCCCTTCCCAAAATCTGGCACGGCCACGTCGATGATTGGGAGCGTGGTGGACAGTGGAGCGTCAAATTCAAACACCGTCCTCTCCTGCCCCGAGCGCGTCTACAGCAGAAAAACACATTTTATTTTTTTTATATATGATTTATTTTTGTGATTTTCAATACACAAAGACAGCAGCAATACAATGCATTACCCCTGCGATTTCTAACAAAACAACCCAAGACACAATACATCAGTTACAATTAGACAATAATCAAATACAAAATACAAATAATAATAAAGAAATACTATATATATATATAAATAAAAATAAATAAATAAAAACCTGCGAGACATTTTGTGAGCATTCCTGTGAGCTTTTGCGGTACAGGGGGGCGACTCAGCCAATGGGGACAGACTCCAACTGGAGGGACTTAACATGTTTTAAGAAGGGTAGCCATATTTTTGTGAACTTGAAGTCTGAGCCCCTAATACAGTGTTTCTTTTTTTCCAATTTCACAAAGTATAGGGCATCCTCAATGTGTATGAGTGGAGGGACGAGGACCCTTCCAATGCATCAAATAACGCGACTAGCCAGCAATGTGAGGAAAGCTACAAGTTCAGCGAAATAGGATGGCAGTAAATGGTCAACGGGTAAAACACCAAACAGGCCAATTAAGGGTGAGGGATGGATGGTAACAGACGTGATAGCTGAGAGTGAGTCAAAGACAGACTTCCAAAACTGAGATAGGGTGGGGCAAGTCCAACATGTGGGCAGAAAAACACATTTAAATAAAAAATCAGTTGATGTGTTCAATCAATACATCAAGGCTCAAAGGGGCCGTATTCTGTTTATTTTCAGGTTCATATTTGTATTTAGTGGCTCTACTCTCCATGCTTTAATGTTCAAAACGCTCTTTATTGCTCTCATACTGCCTGTGCTGCAGCACCTCTTTTCCCCCTCTATCTGAAACTAGAGCCCAGTCTGCTCTGATTGGTTAGCTGGCCGGCTCTGTTGTGATTGGTCAACCGCTTAGAGATGTCCCGTCCCTTAGCCTATCACGTACAATGTGTTTGAGCCATGGTTTGAGCACTTAGCCAATAGAAGCACTAGTGTTACAGGAACTTTGTGATGTTAGCCGTTGCAGACCATTACATGCACAAACCTATATAATACACTACAGGGAAGGGGAAACTCAAAAAGCTCAATAACGTTTCTGTTCCCACTGCTTCTCCCGAGGTCATTCAGAGGTTTGTTTTATTCTGAAAGTTCTTCAGCTCTTGATTCCTTTACGTCGACTGAATGTTCAATGTTTATTTTAATTTATTCTTGCACTTTGATTTGCCTTAGTATTTGAATTGTGCTATATGAATAAACTTACCTTGACTTAAGAAGGCTATAATATTTCTGTTTTCATTAATTTTTAGAATGTGTTCGCTAGTTTTATTTTAGTTTCAGTTATTCAGGAGTTTTAGTTTGTATACATTTCATTTGAGTTTTAAGGTCTCATAAATATAGAGCTACATACAAAATATATGATTTGAGAACTTGGAATGAAAGGGCCATAATGCCTAATGTTTAATGTCCATTACATAATGTGAATTTGTTAAATGGCACAAAAGTTGAAGAAAATTCATTCACAGTTCATAGGATATACTTTATTGACTTTCATTTTAGTAACAATATCTTCAATGACTTATTTTTGTTCTTGATGACTATAACAACACTATTATGTATTTCTGTGTAACTCACCTGACACCCGTCGTACAGCGCACTGATGTAATGTGTGTTCTCGTGTGTCAGCTCCTCCCCGTCGGCGCCTCTGAAGCGCAGTGCGTGTTGGTGGCTGAAGGAGGCGGCGTGCAGCCAGGCGGCCGAGTTCAGGCAGTGGTAGGTGAACGTCTGCTTGGCCGTCGCGCTCAGCAGCTGCAGGAAGGTCAGCTGGACCACGTGGACCGGGACCTCGTCCGCTCCCGAGTAGGAAATCTGCACGGAGAACACCAGAATGTGTATATTGATCGTTGTGCTTTAATTTACGTCTTAATGCATATGTATAAATGTGTCTGTGCATATATAGGATTTTTATATATCCTTGTTATTGTATTCGGGATTGTGGGAAACGGTATTTCGATCTCTCTGTCTGTACACACAAACTAAAGGATTGACAATAAAGTTGACTTTGACTTTGAGAATCACACCTAGGTTATAACAGCACTGATTTGTACTTATTTACATTTTATTTTAGACTTTTCAATTCTGCTTTAGATTGATGGAGAGCCTTTTCTGGTTGACTCGTTACTGATGAGTGATTGCTGCCAAAATATCTTACTTCAATGCATGTAATGTTTTTGACAATAATAGATACTGAGAGGCAATTTTGACAATATAAATAACATCTGCCAAATGTTGTGAATGCTCCTTCAAATACCCACTTATTATAATTTGAGTGCATTCTACTGCCGCTTTATCAGCTACTAAACAGGATTTTACCAAATATGTCCCACATTTGCAGCATGGATTAAACTGTTTCCTATTTGAAGTCATTTTTCCTTGAAGTCATGTACAGAAACACACTGACATACAATGATAGCGTGCAAAATCATAACACCTTACCTGCTTTCCTTTCCTGAATTTACTGTACCAGGTGTTAGACTTTTCCCCTTTCCAAGCTGCTAGTTTTACCTGATGACAAACAAAACAATAACAACACTCAGCTTCAACTACACCGAACCAAAAGATACACAGATGCCAAGAACAGGAGAATGTGTGTGTGTGTGTGTGTGTGTGTGTGTGTGTGTGTGTGTGTGTGTGTGTGTGTGTGTGTGTGTGTGTGTGTGTGTGTGTGTGTGTGTGTGTGTGTGTGTATGTGTGTGTGTGTAAACTCACCGACTGGAACTTCTTGGTAGGGTAAAGACACGTATCTCCCTCTGCGGTGAAGTTACAAAACACCTTGAATGAGTCTCTATGGCAACCCTGGTTTGGATCTATCCAGTAGTCACCTGGAACGACGGAGAAAAATCGACAGTAGGGCAGACAGGTCAGAAACACTCAAGGCTTATACTACTGTCAACAACAAAAACACCTAACAGAGAGAAATCAAACAGATGGTATTAGTTGGAGAAGCACAACACACATAGTGTAGAAGAATAACAAAGGTCAGTTTTAATAATATAATATAGATCAGGGGGGCCAAATACGGCCCGCGACTTCATTTTACGTGGCCCCGCAAGAGCTTGCAAATACGGTTATACGGTTACATGCCGCTTTACAGAAGCAGGTTGCCCATAAACTACATGTCCCACAATGCATCTCGTTGTGTGACATGCCACTGAAGAGACTTGCAATTATTTGCCCTGGACTTCTGCTTTCAGACGTAGTTAATTACTAAGTTATTATCCTATCGGATAATAATCCAATTCAGAGGCAATAATGTAATATAATACATTATTTTATATATATATATATTATATATTTATATATGTATATTTATATAGTTACAACCGGCCCTTTGAGTGAAACCTTAATGCTAATGTGGCCCACGATGAAATTGAGTTTGACACCCCTGGTATAGATAGATAGATTGATTGAGTGTATTAGTATCAGATGTCAAAGGGCAATGTTACACACTGCCAAACAACTGCAACTGTTGAATCTAAATAAACTGAAAGAGGATATTAGGAGCATGTGACCCTGATTGCAAAAGATACCGTATGAAGAAATATGATAGGAATAGAAGCTTATATAACGTTATGAAAGAAGACCAGAGAACAGGATTGTAGTGTTGTCCTGTACTGAGTATAAGTATTGAATAAATCCTGTTCGGCTGCACCTGAATCCACCTTTCCAGCTTCTTCTTGATCTTAAAGTTGTGTTTTTCTACACACCATGTTTGCTAGTCGGTCGGAAATCCAGATACAATGCATTGAGACATGCAGGCAGCTATAATAACACAGTCTTGCACTAATGTACATTTCTCAAAGATATTGAAGTGACTGTTAATTTGTATATATTGATTGTTGTGCTTTTATTCATGTCTTAATGTGTGCATAAATGTGTCTGTTGTTTGAGTATATATAGGTATTGTTGGGAAAATACTGAATGTACTCTTCTAATATCAGAGCAGCACATGATATCAAAGGCCCAACGTAGCTGTGTACGTGACAGGATGTATGATTACCTAGAAGAGCATCAGGACTGTTTTAGGCATATGATAGCTATGTTATTAACATGATGATCCAGCCTCTATGGAGATAGACATATGACTGTCATGTTTATTGCTTACGCAGGCCTTAGCTAATCTGAACTAAACATTGAATACTGCTTTGAACCGTAATTCCTCCACCTTGTGACTGTGACTCTCTCTGTATATCAGCATGTGAAGGACACTGTTCAGGAGCTATTTGTCCCACGCAGGTCTGTATGTGATGACTACTTCCATTCTTGCAAGGATAATAAATACATGGATCCTGATATTGAAGCTCAAGCCGGTGACGAGTGATATTTACATATTTGTATACATATTTTTATATATATTTGTTTTTGTATTCGGGATTGTGGGAAACAGTATTTCGATCTCTCTGTCTGTACACACAAACTGAAAGATTGACTTTTGACATGAGGTACCGTTGGGGAGATCCGGGTGGAGGAGCCAGAGCTCCTTGCAGGTTCGGGCCGGGCTGAGGTACGTCCCATGGGGGTTTCTCAAACCATCCACCTCCACCTTCATCGAGGACAGAGACGCAAACACCTCCTCCATGCCTTTGCCTTCCGTCTCCTTCATCCAGGCGTCCGGCTCTGCCTGGTCCGCCTGCATCCATTCATCCTCTCCTCCATCCCTTGTTTGCTCCTCCTCCTCTTCAAGTGCAGCACCGTCCACCAAGGAGTTGGTTCTCCTCCTGCGTCCTCGCTCTGGCAGAGGGGAGATGCTGACTGCTGGCTTTCCCTGAGGAGAGGAATAGATATGGGAGAGAAGAAAGGAAAGAAAGAGGGGAAAGAAAGGGGAAAAGAGAAGATAGGAGAGGGAAGGAATAAATAGGAGATGAAAAAAGGAGAGAAGAGAGGAAAGGGGATAGGAGAGGAGAGAAAGGGGGACAAGAGGAGATGAAAGGAGTAGAAAAGAGAAAGGAAGGAGGAAAGAAGATAGGAGAGAACAGAGAGAGATCAAAAGGGGAAGAGGAGAGAAGAATAGAAGAAAGGAGTAGGTAGGAGAGAATATTAAAGTGGGAGTTGCAAGGAAAGAATGTGGAGGGAAAGAAACAGGTTTAGATCAGGTGGAGATCATTTGATTGATGTTAAATGAGTTGTACTGTTCATGTTTGTGAACATGTCTTTAAGCAGAACTCACTGGTAGTCCTGGAAGTCCGGCTGGCCCGAGGTCTCCTCTGGGACCAATCGGACCCTAAACACAGAGCAAAGGGATCATTTCAGGGTGGATATGAAGCTCCAAAGTGATAATACTGACATCAATTCAATTAAAGAATACGCGTCACAGTTACCTGGTTTCCTTTAGAGCCCTTTGTACCAATAGCACCCTGTCAGAGGAAAAGAGTTAACGTTAAAATCACAAAGAGGTAAGATGAATCACGCACCGGTTATCCTGATGTGGAGGAAGAAGAGTTTAGGGTTTACTCACGGACAGACCCGAGGTGCCGGGGGGGCCGATGGGACCTGATGTACCAACTCCACCCTGATATCACACACACGAGAGAAAAGAAAATGTGAGAAAAAGTCAGCAAGGTGTGCAGGAGGAAATACTACAACGTTCAGGTTTTTTTACATTACATTACATGTTAGACGCTTTTATCCAAAGCGACTTACATACTCAATACTGTGGGCAATCCCCACAGGAACAATTTGGGGTGAAGTGTCTCAGGGACACAACGACATGCTGACTGCAGTGGGGTTTGAACCTGTGCCCCCCTGATCCGAACACCAACGCACAACCCACTGCACCACAGCCTCCCTAGTTTTTTGTGATAACAATTATAATTGATATCCTTTTAAAATGGATTAAAATGCTGGGGTCCCAATGAAACAATTCTACTAGTCCTGCATGTGCCTGTATCAAAGTGAACTTCCAGTAATGGAAAAAGTCAATCTGAAGCCTTTAATGGGATATGACTATAGCAGGATCATTACAAATAAAAATAAATGGTTGCTTAATACAAACAAATAAATGTTATTAAGCTAACCAAAAAAAAATACATGTACCAGTTTCCTAAAAAAGTACATTAAAAAAGTTTCGACCTCAGCTTTGACATTGTCTCAACTCTTTTTATGTTAGCTACATTACGCTAGTCAGGCTAGCCGATTATATATACTATAGTCAGATATACAACAGAAACTATGCATGGATATTGTCTAACCAACAGAAGACAACACTATGTCTAGCAACATCTACTGATATGCTAACTATAAGCTTTAAATAAATACAAGCAAACCAGATCGATTGCCTTCATATTTCATTAAGTCCATGAACACATTTAGTGTTTGAATGCCTTGATTTTTACAGAAAGTATCATGGTCCAAATATCAGTTTTGTTTTAAAGTGATTCTGTACATTTAATGTAACTAAAAATTGACTTTATGAGTTTCTTTGTTGACAAGAAACACAAGTATAAAACCATAGTAGGAATCAAACTGAATTTTGCCTTCAGTAACACTAATATAGTGGCGTGGCCCAAAATCCTGCACACAAGTTGCCTCCTTTTCCTGGATGGTCCTGTGTGTATCTGTGTGTTTGTTTGTGTATATTTTCAGCACCTCATCTCCTTTGGGCCCCGTCTGTCCCTGGTTTCCTGGCAGTCCTCGGTCCCCCTTCTCTCCGATGTCTCCTGGCGGACCTATCAGACCTATTAAAACCCCCGTGACCCTGAACAGACATCACAAATGAGCTCAAAGTCAAAATCAGGTTAAGTTCAAAGTGAATAATTGTGTGTGTTAGGGTTAATCATGGCACCTTGTCTCCCTTCTTGCCGTGGTCTCCCTTAAATCCTGGTAATCCTGTTGGACCCTGAGCAGAGAAAATGATCATGAGGTCAAACGCATGATGTAACGCTCCGTATTATTCATTTCAAGACGCAGGAAACGCATAATCACACTTGGAAATCATTACATTCACATCATTAATAACATTTGACTTAAATAACTTTTTTATTTCCTGGGCTCCAAATGCAAACAAAATGTTAAAATCTTATACTTTACTTGATTTGATTATCTCATCATGCTCTCATTCACAGGTCATGTGATAGTATTCACTTGATGGTAGAAAGCGCATATAAAAAGTCATTAATGTATCACTCTTAACAAAACAAATTGCTTTGGTAAAGGGTTTTACATATATATTAATGTCATTTAAAGACATTCCTGTTTGTGCAGGCGTTTGGGTAACTTGTGTGCTTTTATTCTATTTGACTCTATGTTTTTATTGTGTTTCTATCGTGTATTGTGTTTTTCACAATGTATTGTGTTTTTAGCACTTCTTAACACGTGGCTTGTGTGGTCATTTAATCTTTTATGACTCGTATGATGTTTTAATGCTTTGTCAAGCACTTTGTGACTATGTCTGGGAAAAGCGCTTTATAAATAAATGTTACTTTTTTACTTACTTACTTATACCTCTTCTAGTTTAGCAGAATAGATGTGATATTAGTGTTGTTATCACACTGTCATATACTGTCAATAGATTGCTTTATTTTCTCTTATTTTTATTATGAAATAGTTTATTTTTTCTGCACTTTATTTTAGATTTGATGATTCATCTCACCATGGGGCCTGGGGGTCCTGTTTGGCCAGGTGCTCCGTTTAAACCCTGTTCACCCTGAGAGAAAAACACAAGAACAGAAGTCATTGAGCATCCATCTTTTCCATGCTCCACTTAAACGACTCCATTCTTCACTGTCTGACTCACTCCAGGGCCGTGGATCCCTCTCAAACCCTGAGGGCCGGTCTTTCCGGCGTATCCCTGAGCACCTACGGGCCCTGTCTTTCCTACGGGGCCTTCGAAACCAGCTTCCCCCTGAAACAGATGGGCAGCAAGGTGACTTTCAGGAGCTGCGAGCATTCAGCTGTTAATATTCAGAGAGATGTTTCAAACTCTCACCTTTGTTCCTTTCAGGCCGGCCTTTCCTCCCTTTCCTGATTTTCCCAAGTGGCCCTGAAGGAGAACAATTTAAAAAACATGTCAACCTGAATCTGTCAGACGCTTCGATGCACACACACACACACACACACACACACACACACACACACACACACACACACACACACACACACACACACACACACACACACACACACACACACACACACAACACACACACAACACACACACACACACACACACACACACACACACACACACACACACACACACACACACACACACACACACACACACACACCCACACCACACACACACACACACACACACACACACACACACACACACACACACACACACACACACACACACACACACACACACCATGTATACATAACTTCAGGGGACATTACATTGACTTACATGCATTTCCTGGAGACTTATCCTAATCTCAACCATAACCAACACATGCCTAACCCTAATCCTAAACCTAACCAAATCTTCACCCTAAAATTAATGATTCCCCTCATGGGGACCTCCAATTTGTCCCCATAAGGGAGGCGAGTCCCCACACATGACTGTGTAAACAGATTTAGGTCCCCACAAGTATAGTAATGCTAGGCCACACACACACACACACACACACACACACACACACACACACACACACCACACACACACACACACACACACACACACACACAACACACACACACACACACACACACACACACACACACCACACACACACACACACACACACACACACACACACACACACACACACACACACACACACACACACACACACACACACACACACACAGGGGTGGAGCTTCCTACAGGCGATACAGGCGGTTGCCTAGAGGGGGGCGCCAAAAATTGCACAAATAAAAAAAAAGAAAAAAATTATTTTTGTTGTTGTTGTTGCTTGGCGTAGTTTTGGCGCCCCCCTCTATATCTGCAACCATTATTCTTACATAAAAAAAAATTCTAACATAAGGGGAAATAAGCCAAAAATCTAAAACGGTCGGTCGGTCTAAGAGCCTCTGCTTTAGGTGTTCACAGTCAGAACATGCTAGAGCGCTGTGCATTGATGGGTATCGGTCAAGTGTTTATACAATTGAGCGTTGAGGAAAGAAAGACTAACGTTAGAGAACTATGAAGAGGCAAAAGCCATCCGGGGCCCAGTATAAAAACAGAAGAAAAGAAGAAGAAGAGAAACGTGCCAAGGTGAAAGGTATGCAATTTTGATTGTATTGTCAACATTAGCGAATGGATCCTGGGGGGTATACTACGAAGCAGGATTTTCGCTTAGCCGGCTAAATTCAGGGAAAACTCCGGCTTTCCGGTCCTACGAAGCTGGTTCTCTTTTTAGCAGGCTAGATCTCCATGGTAACTTATGCTAAGCGGCTAACCTGGTCGGGACCAGGTTAGGTTGCAGGCTAAGAGCTCAACTCAGTGAAAGCACTGCCTGCTGACCAATCAGAGCTCAGTGTGCGGAGTTTAAAGCGATCAAGTCATATTACAGGAGAAAGGAAATACAGAAAAACTGCCGTCGCAGGAAAGACGGCTGGCAAAAATCACCGACTGTGTGAACGTGAACATTAATAGAATATCACCTCCATCTTCAGAGCAATCTGACTATTATAACATTAGCGTTAAGAAAGCTTACTTAAATATCTGCCACAACATAGGCCTAAGTAACCGGATCAGAGTAACATTAAGTACAGTCCGCGGCATATCACTTCATAATGTATCATATATTTTCTTATCTGAGTCAGCTGAGCCCTATCTGGCCGTGCAACACTCACAGTGTCACATAGGCCTACTGTATGCAGAAGTATTATTTTAAGCAACACATTAAGTTGACGAAACACTCGAGACAAATGTAATTAAAGTCAGATGGTGTTTTAGACGGGGCAGTGATATCATAAACCTGTTAATGTACGCATTCAAACACTTTTTCTTTTGCCAGCTGTATTAACCTTGCAGGTGCAGCTATGTGGCTTTTATCCTGGATAAAGTGTTTAAGTCATGGATGTTTAAAGTTTAACTTCTTCATTTTTGACTAGTATTAAAGTTCACTTTTCATTCAGGAAGTATGACGCTGCGCTGTCAGTACGCTTCTCCATGTTTGTGATTGGTCGAATGCTCCAAATACCACCCCTTTCATGTGAACGCGCACCTAACTAGATAGGAAACGGCTGGCTTGAGCGATCCACTTGATAACCCGCGTCGTAGTACAGTTTAGCGAGAGCGCGTATGTTTTGGATTAGGCCAACCGGCTAACTCAAACATATCCAGGTTAGGTTGAACTAGATTCGTAGTATAGGCCCCTGTAATCTTGCTAGTTAGCCAAGCCAACGTTAGCTAGCCAGCGTTTGTTATTGCCATTCAGTCGAAACTGTCATAAGGCTATTTTCGTTGTGTCATGAAATAGAAATATTAGTAATAATAACAATGTTAGTTTTGGTGTAGCGAGCTAGCCAGTGTGGTGGAATGTTAGTTAGTTGGTAACGTTAGCTAACGGTAAGTTTACCTCAGAAAGCACATTGACTATCCGAGTCAAACATTTGCCAAATTCAACCCTGTCATAATGTGCGCTAACGTTAGCTAACTAGCTCAGTGGTTCTCAACTCCAGTCCTGTTGAATGTTTTAGTTCCAACCCAGAACTAACACACCTGGTTCAACTGTTCTAATAACATAGGCATAGCTCTTGATTAGTTCAATCAGACCTGTCAGGCTGTCCAAATGCTTACTAACTAAATAATAGCTACATTTAACAATGGAAATTATTCAATGTTGATAATACACATTTTGTTATATCATTTTAGATTCACTTTTAAAATATCTGGGACCACCTGCTGCATCAGTTCACAAGGAACAAAAGCGGCTGAAGTCAACAAAGAGGCACTTCTCATATGAGTCTCCTGATGAGCCATTGAGGGATGCCTGGCAAAATCTGGAGGTAACCTTCCTTAACGTGGTGGTGGATGCTGCAGTGTCAGCACAAAAGGAGAGGTTTACCACTCTTAAACATGTGCAAGACAAGTTTGGCATTCTGTACCTCCCAGACCTGCCACACCAAGAGCTGATGAAGCAAGCAGAGGCAGTTGCACACACCTTAAACCATGGAGGGAAATCGGATTTGTATGGGAAGGAGCTGGCTCAGGAGTTGTACCTGACTTGCCATCAAAGAGCATGACAACTCTTGAGTTGTTGAAATTCATACACACAAAGCAGCTCACCGAAATATATCCCAACTTGTGTATTGCTCTGCGGATCAGTGCAACGCTACCAGTAACAGTAGCTTCAGCCGAGAGGAGTTTTTCCAAATGAAAACTCTTGAAAACATACCTGAGGTCAACCATGGCTCAAGAACGCCTCAGTGGTCTGGCTGTAATCAGTATTAACCATGAGGTTGGTGGTCAGATTTCACATGATGATGTGATTGATGACTTTGCAGCGAGGAAGGCCAGAAGGATTGCACTGTAAATGGAAACCAGTAGGAGCTAATATGTAGGCTAACCTTGTGTGATGATAGTGAGTGGAATGTAAATAGTTCTTAATTTTTATTTATTTGTTTGTTTATTTAGCATATTATATATTGATTATTTGACATGTGTAACATATTTTACATTTCTTCTTAATTTTCTTTGAAAGCAAATGTGCACATTCTTTTATTGTTTGTTATTGTTATTATTATTATTATTATTATTGTTTGTTAGCTAAGTTGTTTGTTTTAATTACTTAGTGTGCACTTTACATTTATTCTTAGCTCTTGTTCTTGATTGTAAGAAATAAAGGTGCAGTACTTTACTGTATAACTGTTAAGATGTTTTGATATTTTTTTTGGGGGGGGGGGGGCGCAGTGGTGAAGCTCGCCTAGAGCACCAAATGTGCTAGGTCCGCCCCTGCACACACACACACACACACACACACACACACACACACACACACACACACACACACACACACACACACACACACACAAACGGTGAGATGTAGAAAGTACCATGAACCTCCTTACTATTCTCACAAAGGACTTGAGTTTAATCTTTAACTTAAACAGACATAAGATAATTTTCTGCCACTATTGGTCTCTCGGTCAAAACAGTAATAAAAGTGAGTTTGGTGACATTGTGAAATCACTCTGGGTTAAGTTGTTTTCTTCACACCATGAATAAAGCAGTTGCTAATGTTTCCGCGGGTTATAATATACAGTTTAAAAAGTCCAAGATCTAAAAAGTGTATCATAAATGGGGATACAATCCTATTTCTGGCAACAACAAAAAACATTCCTTAACAATACAAATGAGAGTTTTCTCTAGGTTTTAAATTGTTGAAAACATTTGGGATAATGTAAGTACATTACTCAAAAACAAATATAGCATAGGTCTAATTCTTTAAGGCCTTTTATTTAAGTGAACATAAGAACACAAACCCTTCGCCCAGGAGATCCAGACGGTCCTTGTTCTCCTGCCGCTCCTGGTGGTCCCTGATGGATATAAGAAACTATTTATATGGCCAGTTGGATGATAACATCATCTTTCAGGTTTATCAAATAAAGAACGCCATGGATGATATGGTGTATGATGAGAAAGGGAGGAGCTCACAGATTTCCCGGTGTCTCCTATGTCTCCTTTGGTCCCCGCCACACCATCCACTCCCTGATGAGGACAAACATTGAAAAAGCGTTACATTTCTATTGCATCAGAAAGTAACATTGAAGTTATGCAACATCAAAGCCTTAAATGTAGAAAACCTTAATTTAAAGGGACATGCTAAGGTTGATATTATCAGGAGAGATATTAAAGAAGAATACTAAAGCAGAAGTGGTTGATTGGTTGTTTAAACATCCTGTCATGAGGGAACTCAGTCTTTAAATTTGCCGAAATAAAAATATCTTCTTAAAAACTCTACACATTATCTTTAGACAAGAAAAACAATTCAGGATTCAGAAAAATATTGTATATTATATAATTGTTCATTATCAATCCTTGATTTCAATGTAATTTTGATCTAATTCCATACGTAACACTTAAATCATTGTTTCAAAAAAAGTTGTAATCCCTTTTTTTTAAAACTGCATTTAAATATCGACAAGATTTCCATAAACAAAATCAAAACAATTTAAATTGAAGATGAAAAAGAGGGAAAAGAGAAAGAGGGATAGAAAGTCCAGCACTCACATTGGGTCCAGCCTCTCCCTGCTGTCCGAGGTCCCCGGTGAGACCTGGAGGACCCTGAGGACAGAAAGAGCCAATATAACATCCTATTTTAATGCTTTCATTTGCTTTGAATCATCTAGTGCCTACAACGATAGAGAACAGTCACTACAGAAGCAGCAACGTTGAGTTAAACCTGGCAGAACATGTTGTAATGGCTTTATTTTGTGTCTTTTTAGGCTTATTATGAGTTAAAATATAATGAAACATTGCCCTGGAGCTTACGTAATATCTACAGAAGATATGGCACTGGATAATATTCATGAAATCCAAGAGGAACATAGAGTCCATAGGTCCTTCCACTATCATGAATATTTATGCTCAGATGTCCGTTACTGGGCTATTTTCTCAATCAGCCATAGCCCCATTCAGTTCTGTAATACAGAGATGAAAGTTCATTGAATAAGATATCTTTCTATTACACACGTTTTAGCTTTAGTTAAGGCTATTTCTACAGCTAGCTTTCACCCCTAGCTCACTTTCTTTAGCTTTATACAGAATGTTTCTCTGTATGAGAGTAAAGCTTTAAGAGTCAGAGTTTAGAAACTGCAGTTTGCCTTGGTTCGGCTCTGTTTTGTGTTTTTAAAACCGATACACACAAAATCTGATGTCCAGATTAAAGGTGAGGTAGGTAATTTTGGAGATCCAGCTCGAGTGCGCTAGAATTTGAAAATACACAACCAGAAAAAATCTGCCCCTTCCTTCAGACTTCCTTACAGAGCCCCTCCTCCAACACACACGAACGCGCACATGACCAATGAAGGCACGAGATAAGTTTGTGCAGAGATGGAAGGCTGACAGGCAGGTAGGCCATCCAGTTATTTTAGCCGGGCCGGCTCAGATGATTGGTCGTGCTTTTTACAGCGCCACGGCTTCCACAGATGACATTTTGTATGGATTTTTTGTCAAAGAATTTAATATATTCATTGCTATCGGGATGTTAAGAGCATTCCATGGAATATAACAAAAAGTGTATCTCGAGCCGGTTTCTCAAACTTACCTACCCCACCTTTAAGGTTTTACCTCCAATTTAACCAAATATGTAACTTTGTTTAGCCTTTCTAGGGCAATGAACAGTAAAGTATATTATGGAACAACTCTTTTAACGTGTGCATTATAATATAGGTTCATCACAGAGCTTTGTGTTGCATTATAATCTACAGTACATAACAGTGCAGTCATGGAGGAGGGTTTTAAGTAAGATTGTTTCTCACAGAGTTGCCCTTGGCTCCATCCTCCCCTGTTGGGCCCCTGGCTCCTGGAGGACCCGCTGCTCCTGAAAGACCAGTGTCTCCCTTCTCCCCCTGGTCTCCTTTTCCTCCCTAAAGAAACAAAGAAGCAGAGCCATCGATAAGAGAGCTGGAGCAGAAGACAAGAGCAAGAGAAGCTTTAAAGGAAAAGATTATAGGGGCAAGTCTGAAAAAATTAATCAAACCAACTCACCATGCTTCCTGGAAGACCTGTGGCTCCGGGGTCACCCGCCTCTCCGTCCTCCCCCTGAGAGAGGAGGAAATTATGTGTGAGAAATCATGGAAGAGATTATGAATTTTTGAAGGATCATCAATTCATCATACAATTTCATTACCTTCTCACCAACAACACCCGGCGTTCCTATCATCCCCAGCCTACCAGCCGGACCCTGAACAAGACAGAAGAAATCACAGTGTTTCGCCAGAATTAAAAACAAGTTTACGACTAAACGAGGATGCATGAACATTATTGTGTGACGTACCTGTCCTCCAACAGGTCCTTGGGGACCAGAGGGGCCTTGTTGACCAGGTGGACCCTGAAACCAGGAGGGAGACATAACAGATTATTAACTTGCAAGGAGAAATGTGATATAAATCTGGGACGGATATTAAAAAGGGGATATCAGCTCACCATTAATCCCCCATGTCCGCTCTCACCCTTCTCTCCTGGCAGGCCGGGCATTCCCTGAGAAAACACACAGGTTGGAGGATTAAGGAAAAAGCTCACTTTGTCTACTCAGAAGATATCACTTAATTGATCTGCAGCCTCACTGATGGACAAATCTCACCTGTAATCCTAATGGTCCTCTGGAGCCCTTAAAGCCGCGGAGCCCCTCGTCTCCTTTTGGGCCGTACATGCCCTGCTGACCCCGGGGGCCCAGCAGTCCGTCTATACCCTGAGAAACAAAGCAGAGCAAGGAGTGAGCGACTCAATTATTCACGGTCCCATTACCAGAGGTGTAACTCTCGAAATGTTGTTTAACAGGTACACATTTACTTGCAGGCAGTGAGAACAAAACTTGGAGGAGAAATCAGACTTTTTTACATCTATATCTGCTTCATGTTTAAAAGACGACGCGAGAGATATCGATCTTCTCAAAGCCAATAGGTACTGAAAAATGTAATTACTCATTTTATAATTAATGCATTATGAGATAAGATTTTACAGAACTTGGGTGTGGAGAATAACTTGTAACTATGAATTTTCTACATAAGAGATTAACTTTTTGAATAATAAACAATATTTTAATTTTCAAGACATCAAAAGAAGATAATCAGAAAACAAAGAGGGATATTTACTCACCGGAAGTCCTGACTGACCAACTACACCTTGAATGCCGATTGGACCTGAAGGGCCCTGTGGATGGATGGAGAGAGAGAGAGAGAGAGAGAGAGAGAGAGAGAGAGGAGAGAGAGAGAGAGAGAGAGAGAGAGAGAGAGAGAGAGAGAGAGAGAGGAGAGAGAGAGAGAGAGAGAGAGAGACATTAAGATGATCAGATCTGTTCTACTTATTGAGTTCAGTCCATGTTGATATTCTTCTCTCGCTCCAGACTCACAGATTCTCCTTTGTCGCCTTTGCCCCCTTTCTGCCCGGACTCTCCCAGCTCTCCCTGAAGACACAAACACACAGGTTATCACCACAGTATGAACACACACTATCCGTTTGCCTCTTTGACTCCCAGACACACACATCTCACCTTATCCCCGTCGTCTCCTGGAGGTCCCGCGGGGCCCACAGCTCCCATCATCCCCATAGGCCCCTGCTCTCCATCGTGACCGGCAGGACCTACCGGACCCTTCTCTCCCTGAAATACAGACACAACAACAAGTGTTATTCTTCATACAAGCAGAAAAAACACACAGACATTAAAGGTCCCCTATTATACAGTTTTTCATCAATATATTACAGTTCTCAGATATATATATAAAACATGTCTCTGACAAACAGATCATTGCAGCATCCCATAATTCCCTCTGTTTCAGCCCTGTTTCCAAAGTGCTGATTCTCTGTCTGTTACTTTAGATGAAAATAAGGAGCCCCTCCCCACGCCCCTCTGAGAGATATTTGGTTACAAAGAACACAATGGTGCTCTAGGAGGAGATTCAGGTGATAAGGTGTGGGGTGGGGGGTTACCTTGGTTGGTGATTGGCTAATGGTTACACAAGACAAAACATCGTTATGACATCATAAAGTGGCCACAATCTGATCAGCTCATTTTCAGACAGGTTTTTATAGAAATGGATCGGGACAAAAAGTGAGAGAATCTTTTTTCCTGAAACTTTCAGAGTCTCTTTCCACAGAGGGGACACATGTTGAAGTAGAAGAGACATGAAGAAGAGGGGACACATGTTGATGTAGAAGAGACATGAAGAAGAGGGGACACATGTTGATGTAGAAGAGACATGAAGAAGAGGGGACACATGTTGATGTAGAAGAGACATGAAGAAGAGGGGACACATGTTGATGTAGAAGAGACATGAAGAAGAGGGGACACATGTTGATGTAGAAGAGACATGAAGAAGAGGGGACACATGTTGATGTAGAAGAGACATGAAGAAGAGGGGACACATGTTGATGTAGAAGAGACATGAAGAAGAGGGGACACATGTTGATGTAGAAGAGACATGAAGAAGAGGGGACACATGTTGATGTAGAAGAGACATGAACAAGTGGATTTTGCATAAAAGGTGACCTTTAAGATCTACTTATCAAATAGAATTTCCGTTTGTTTTTTTCACCAGTATTGATTATGGATTTAACTTCATGTGCTTAAATAAAAAACCTTAGGCAGCATGAAGACAATAATATGCTATATTGTTTTTGAGTCACAGTACAACAATATAACTTCCACTAAATAAACAATTATTACATTTTATCTAGTTTGGCTTCTTTGAGTGAATAAAAACCACACATTTGCTAGATTGAATTAAACATTAGTTTTTTCTCTTTCAACCAAAACAAAATTCTGTAAAAGTCCAACGTTGTAATAACTATATAAAAGAAAAATGTCAGCAGTCATTTATAAAAGGACATCAATCAGTCACATCGTCACTGAAAAATGATGAAGTCTAAAGGCAACACATAGTAAAAGAGCTACTAAATACAGTGACATAAAAATAATGTTTTAGCTGTATTTACAGGCTCGCCCTTCTCTCCCATCGGTCCAGGTCCTCCGATGGCTCCGCCCCGGCCTGGCTGTCCGATGGCCCCGGCGGCACCTGAAGGGCCCCGCTCACCTGAGGCCCCCTGCAGACAGAACATGTTGTAATGGCTTTATTTTGTGTCTTTTTAGGCTTATTATTAGTTCAAATATAATGAAACATTGCCCTGCAGCCTACGTTATATCTACAGAAGATATGGCACTTGGCCCTTGGATAATATTCATGAAATCCAAGAGGAACATAGAGTCCAAAGGTCCTTCCACTATTGATTGATTGATTGATTGATTGAAAAGTGTATTAACAGCTTGTATATTGGGTACAGTACAGTACAGCTCAAAACATACAATTGTTAAGGGGATGCAGACCAGAGAAAGACTTTCGTCTTGTTTACATCAGGGTCCCCCATTTCCAATTCATCATGTCATTTAAGACATATAAGACATATTTGACATACAGATGGCTTATTTACAATTTACATACAGGTGGTTTTTTTACATACAGATTGCTTATTTACAATTTTCATTTTAGATTTTGTTCTAATACATCCTAACCGGACATTTAATACAAGTCTACAGATATACAGTTAGTAACAGAGTCTAAAATGCGAGTATATACATAGATGGGGGGGGGGAAGCTGTCCATTGAACGACAGGTTGAGATTTGTACCATTACCGGGGCCAGTTTTGCAATGCTTTCCCCCGAAGGAGCTCTTTAAGAGAGGTTTTGAAGGTAAGTATAGTTTTACTTTCCTTTACAGTTGTGGGAAGAGCGTTCCACCTTGATGTGGCATAATTGCGAAATGTGTATTCCCCCTTTTTTGTGCCAAATCTGGGTTTCACATGATCTGTGGAGCTCCCTCTGGTGTTATGATCATGGTATTCCTTGACCTTTGGGAAGCATTTTGACATGTACATGGGTACCATAGAGGTGTAGTGGATCTTGTAGACCAGGCCCATTGCAAGTAGCTGTACTCTGTCGTCTACTCTAAGCCATCCTAGGTTGTCAAAGTGGGCAGAGGTGAGGTGGGTTCTAGATGAAAGGTCAAGCAGTAGTCTGACCAGTTTATTTTGCGATGTTTGAAGTTTTATTTGTAGCGCCTTGGAGGTGCTATGGTACCATGACGTGCAAGCATAGTCATAGTACCCCTAACCCTATCATGAATATTTATGCTCAGATGTCCGTTACTGGGCTATTTTCTCAACCATTTTTGGATTTAAAGATAGCCCCATTCAGTTATGTAATACAGAGATGAAAGTTAATTGAATAAGATATCTTTCTATTACACATAACAGGAAAGAAAAGTAGTTTTAGCTTTAGTTAAGGCTATTTCTACAGTCATTAAAGGTTTATAATGATGGATGAATAAAAACAGCTGGAGTCATTATTGTGTTAGACACTGTTTTCAATTATAAAACAACATGTTGATTACTTACAGGAATTTATTTAGTGGAAAACACTGAAGAAATATGCATATTTTTTTACACACAAAAAGCTGATTTTTGTCTGAAGGCCTCTTAAACTGAATCAACAAAAATAAAAGTACTGTTACTCACTATTCCTCCTGATAATCCAGTAGGTCCGGACCCTCCTTTCAGACCAGGAGGTCCCTGGAAGGATCACACATCATTGTATCATATAAAATATAAAACATAAAGTGATTTGTATGGTGTATTTGTTTCTGTGTGGCTTACTATGAGTCCGGTGGGTCCTCTGCTCCCCCTGAACCCTTTCATTCCAGCAGGACCGTTCTTCCCAGAAGTCCCAAGCAAACCCGGATCGCCCTGACACACAAAAAAACAATCGTAAACAAAAACAATGACTCTATGAGGCCTACTTGAAAACTGGTGGTGTTGAAGTATTGAGGCAGTGACTTCTTTAGTAGTTTCTTTCTAGGTCAGCTGGTCAGGAACCTCCCTTGAACACTGTGAGCACCCAGTCTACCTAGGGGTAACCCTGGACAGATGCCTCTCTTTTAAGACCCACACTGAGAAGACTAAGTGCAAAGTGAGTGCGAGGAATAACATCATCCGCAAGCTCACCGGCACGACCTGGGGTGCAAACCCACAGACTCTGAAGTCAACCGCACTAGCCCTCTGCTACTCAGCTGCCGAGTATGCCTGCCCAGTATGGGAACGAGCTGCCCATGCCAAGAAGCTGGATCCCGCCCTCAATGCTAGCTGCCGCATTATCACAGGCTGCCTGAAATCAACACCTACAGACCGTCTGTACATCCTGGCAGGCATAGCCCCACCAGAGATACGACGAAATGCAGCAAGCAAGAAAGAGCGCCAACAACAGTCTACTGACCAAAGACATCCTCTCTTTGGCCATGTGCCAGCCAAAAGCCGCCTTAAATCCAGGAAAAGTTTCCTGAAGAGCGTCCCACCCCTCGGAACACCGAGCATAAGCAGTGAAAGAGTCACTCGGTGGGAAGAAAGACTTGACAACCTCCCATCAGCAACAACAATGGAGCTAAAGGCGAGCGAGGCACTGCCCCCTGGAGCAGACACCAACTACGCAGTGTGGAAATGCCTAAACAGAATAAGATCTGGTGTTGGACGTGCAAAAGCCACTCTCGCCAAATGGGGATACCTAAATGACGGGGACGTTGTGTGTGACTGCGGCATTGAACCACAAACCATGCAACATCTCCTGATATGCCCCCTGCTGGAGCAACCCTGCACAACATTGGACTTGGCAGAGTTTAATGAGAAGGGACAGCAATGTGTTCAGCTGTGGCTGAACTACATCTAACCAAGCCCTGTAACTGACTGCCTTGTAGACACGATAAGAAGAAGAGTAGTTTCTGACACCTCTACTGCAATATAGTGAAAGAATAACTGTACATGTGAAAAGTCCTGTTAGAAAGGCCACCACCAGCGCTGCACTGCTGTGGGAAAATGCATAGTCTGCATGAAAAAACAGGCCCATTTTGGGACGCCTCACAAAGGAGATACACGTGAGCACACGTGTGTTATACCTGTCTAAATATCAACACTGTAAAAACATATTTACTGAAAATCATCACCCTCGAAAGAGTTTTACAAAAGCTCAGTTTTCTTTAACCATTTTCGCTGTTAGCATGTGGAGAAAAGAACAAAATGACATGGAAAATCTTTATATTTTAAACAAATATATACAATATGTTACATGTGACATATGTAACTAGGGCTAAGTTAATAATGCACATTTGTGTGTGTGTGTGTGTGTGTGTGTGTGTGTGTGTGTGTGTGTGTGTGTGTGTGTGTGTGTGTGTGTGTGTGTGTGTGTGTGTGTGTGTGTGTAGACCCACCTTTCCACCTTCCTTCCCAGCAGCCCCAGGTAGACCGTGCTCTCCGGGAACACCTGGCGCCCCCGGGTGACCTCGGTCCCCGATTAGACCAGTTTCACCTGATTTGCCCTGAAACAGAAACACGTGATTGGGTTCGTAACACCAACACAAGGCAGGAGGAACATTAATAACACAACTGAGTCACAGTGTTGATCTCACCTGTGGCCCCACTACACCCGAGGGTCCCGGAGGCCCCGTCTTCCCATGGAAACCCTGCAGTCACAGAAAAAAGATGGGAAGAAATTATATTCTGACTTTATAATTTCTTGCAACAGTAACATTCTGTAACAGTATAGAGAATAGGACAAAAAATACTTTGAATTTGGACAAACTTTGGGCTTCTACATTCACAACCACAAAGATAAAACAAATAACCTGTTATCTGAGTATAGCTGCTAGAAAAGTAAAACGATTATTGCTCAGAAAACTCAACTACAGAGAAATCAAATGATATAATTTATTAAAAAGAATCACCTTCTTCATGTGACTTCAGCAACTATATTTAAGGACATTTAGGAGAGGTGGAAAACATATTTATGTGAAACAATTTAATTGATTGTATTTCTTTTACTAGTATCGCAAATGTATTTTCTTGTCATAGTTTCATTTAAAAAATCTGAGCTGATAAACTGTTCTGTTATGTGTTATGTATATCCAAATAAAGTTTACTCTGTGAACCCCTAGGAAAGGAAAACACCTAAAAAGAAAACATACATTGGTGTGTGTTTGTGTGGTGAAAACTATTCCTCCAAGATAAAGTGTATCAACCGTTAAACTTTTTAAACTCAGTGAAATATTGACATCACTCACCGGCTCTCCTCTTTGACCTGGATGACCTGGAAGTCCGTCTTTCCCTGAAGGACCCTACACACACACACACACACACACACACACAACACACACACACACACACACACACACACACACACAACACACACACACACACACACACACACACACACACACACACAACACACACACACACACACACCACACACACACACACACACACACCACACACACACACACACACACACACACACACACACCACACACACACACACACACACACACACACACACACCACACACCACACACACACACACACACAATGTATTTGCTGTAAAGTGTCTCTACTGTAGGCCATTTTTATTATATGTACAGCACTTTGGCTCGACCAAAACTCGTTTATAAATGTGCTATATAAATAGAACTTGATTTGAAACAGAGACAAAACACACACACGACAAGAACAAGTGATAAATTATTTGGAGCTCAGGATAAAAGCGGGCTTCCACCCTGCTTGCATTTTCTTCATTGAGCTGCCAAATATTAAAATCTGACTGCTGAAAATGTCCCTGTAGGCCACTGTAGTTGATTCATGGCAGCACACTCAGCGGCTTCTCAGACAGAACTCTTTTGTCAGAAAATGACAAAGTACACCCCCTGAAGCTGTATGAAAAAAAACTGGCTGCATGCAGCATGCACCTCAACAAAATACCAGCTGCCATGATGTAAAAAAAGAAACTCATAAAAATCTGATTCTAGCTTAGAGGTCACTCACTGTTTGCCAAGGTTTGAGACCTGTTGGAAGATTGTGTTTGCTCTGTCAAGGCTTGTAGGTGAATTGTTCTTGTTCTTGTTTTTCTTTCTGTGTCTAACATTAAAATGACAGAATGTACTGGCTTTAGTTTTTAGTTTGAGCCCTATCTTAAAGGGACAGTTCCTTTTATCTTTAGTGTTATAAGAAATCTTGCTTAAATGAATAATTGTTTTTGGCTTAAAGCAGTAGTATATTTGGAAAAAGGCAAGCATCTCTTCGGCCAATAGTTGCAGCTGAAACTAAAACAATCTAGATTGATAAATAGGACGAACATTTGTTTTTTGATCTTGGCATATACGGTCCCTTTAACTAAAAACTAAATGAAATGATTTATAAAGAAACCACCTACTGTATTTACTATCCTTACTGTAACTGTACAACATGTCAGTTCATTTGCCAGTATGCCAAGTGTATATTTACTAAGTGCCCTAAAAACAAAATATTGGGTTGAGAGGACACACACACATTTGAAGAAATGCAATAAAGATTCTGATCAATGACCACATTTCAAATGATTTTTGTTCTGTCACCACTCACGCTTGTGCCTTTCGGTCCTGTCTCTCCATTCCTTCCTTGCGGCCCTTGAGGTCCCTATAAAACATAACCAGGCATTACAACAGGCAATCAATCAACTGATCACTCAATGAATCACATATATTAACAGCGTTTCTCTTACCCTTTCTCCACCAGATCCTGGGGGTCCATCATTTCCGGAGATGCCCTATAAAAATGTGACGGATAAAAAGTGGTGAAGCACAGCTGAGAGTGTGATAACAGACAGGGTGTTATAATTGGCTGAGAGGAGAGTCAGCTGACCTTTTCTCCTGATTTCCCTGTTGGCCCCTTCGCCCCTCGGCCACCTCGCGCACCCTGAAGGAGAATAAAACATGAGAGACCAAACCCAAGAGAGGATTGAACTGTGACTGACCTGAGACAGAAGATACGGTTCAATCAGATCTCCAGGTAGTGACTCACTGACTTCCAGGCGAATTGAGTAATTGATTCAGTAACATGAGAGATGACTCAGAGATCTGCAACATTGTGACATGAGGGTAACAATGTTGAAAGGTAAACATCTACAATACATTTGAGGAATATTGAAATATATTTCGGAAAGTATAAAATCTCTAATCGGTAGACCAATCACAACAGAGCCGGCCAGCTAACCAATCAGAGCAGACTGGGCTGATTTTCTTTGTCTATTCAATAACAGGTCAGACATATTATGAACATCTGATGCCCTTCTCTTAGCCAGCGTACAACATGTAACATTTTTCGGTCACTTCAGGGAAACCGCTAAAGGCCCTGTCACACTGTCCCGAAATTGACACCCGATGGACACACGATAAAGGAAATGTTCAAATTCGGCTGTGATCGTAGCAACATCGGGCCATTCGTGAGGGCATCTTAAGCCATCGTATGACCGCCGGTGGAGTTTCTCAGGCTCCGGCAGCAACTTCGTGAGCGGCAACTTCGTAAGGTACTCGTGAGGGCATCTTATCAAATCGTGTCATCTTCGTGTTATCATCGGTGCATTCACCCTCACTCTGATCGTGGCGAATGCCCGATGGCACCGATGATAACAAGATGCCCTCACGATGGCCTTACGAAGGGCAACATTTACACACAAATTCAACACGAAAATGAACCTTCGCAAGGTCCTTCGGCAATTTTTTAGCATGCCAAAGATTTTGCCACCGCTCACGAAGTTGCTGCCGGAGCCTGAGAAACTACACCAGCGATCATACGATGGCTTAAGATGCCCTCACGAATGGCCCGATGTTGCTACGATCACAGCCGAATTTGAACATTTCCTTTATCGTGTGTCCATCGGGTTGTTTTATTGCACAACAAAATCATGTAAATATATTATGTAAATAACCCAATTTGTGTTCTGTGAAACTAAAAAGGATATAATATATTATTTTGAAGGACAGTTGACAGGAAGTTGTTGTTGTTATGGAAACAACATTACGGAGAAAACGTAATATTTTCTACATATAACGACGGATAAAGTAAAGAACAAAGTCTGAAGATATCAGTACAGTATCATAGTACTGTAACATAATTGTTTTTGGTACTTTCATTGCAGTTGTATGTCTTAAATGTAATGTAAATGTTGCCTTTGTGTGTGGTTCGGGGCCATCTTCGTGCGAAATTCACAATTCCATATTCGTGTGTCCATCGGGTGTCAATTTCGGGACAGTGTGACAGGGGCTTAATGGCCTGTTCTTCCAGGAATCACATACTGTTCTGTTCCTTTGTGTTTCCCTCTTTATAATGTTCCGTCGATATAATGGATATAATGTGTAACAACCTCGTTGAGCCTAGCACTCATTTCCCAGCAGGCTTGTTCTGAGGTGATTTTGAGTCCCTTTGCAAAGATGTATTATTTTCAAGACAACTTTTATGGCCAACTTAATGTGGGGCAGCATAGACAGTGTTAACAGAACACTCACATAGGGTTAAGTTATTCGCAAACATTTGCATAGTTATACATCTAACAGAAGATCAATTAAAAGAAAATATATTCACGATTCTCGGAGGCGATTTTTGTCATTTTGTTTAGTTAATTTAACTGTCTGCCTCCATAGATTGAGTGAGACATGCCACTCACTCAATAGAAAAAGACAACAGGGGGGGAGTGTGTAGAGTCGGCATATTTTCACATCAAACTCAGTGAATTAGGGGTTTATTTTAATCAAGCAAGAGTTGGTCAATGTCGGAACAGTGGGAGGACTAAACGAGACAGTTTTGTTGAGATTTATTTCTCTAAATTGAGTTGAAAAAGCCGACTTGCTGTTGCACAAGGCAATGGGGGCTAATAGAGTCATTTAGAAGTGTAGTGATGTTAATCCATATCCTCCAATCCAATCATACCAATGGTAAATGTCTGTCTACTGCTGTACTGCATGGTACATTTGAACACTGTGCAGTTTTCACCACGATGAAGTAAAATGACCATTCAAATTCATCATTGCTTCAAGGTGCAACACCACGCAAGTCTTTAGTACACAGTCAAAGCCTCATAGTGGCAGAAGTTGAATGCTAAATACATGTTTTAACAAGGTGTTTATATTTGAAGAGCCAGGACAGTGTAAGTGCAACGTAGCTCACAATATGTGCAGGAAGAAGGTTTCAGCTTTTCAGAAATATTAATGAAAGTGACCCTCTACAAGTGGAGTAAAAACGATATTGAAAGAGGTCAGCTAGGAAAAGGTGTCACCTCACTTTTTTCAATGCATCCGACTCACCTGGTTTTAAAATAACATTATTAACATTTTCTGAAGAGCTAGATCCGGCAGTGGCTCAGTCAGTAGGGGCTCGTAGGGTCGCCGGTTCAAGTCCCCGACCAGACCTAAATATGGAGTGTGGACTGCTACTTGGAGAGGTCCCAGTTCACCTCCTGCCCTGCCATGGTGCCCTTGAGCAAGGCACCGGACAACCCCCTTCCCCCCCTCACTCCCATTGCTCCCCGGGCGCTGTACAATAGCTGCCCACTGCTCCTAGTACTAGGATGGGTTAAAAGCAGAGAACAAATGTCACTGTGTGCTCTGCATGTGTGACCATTAAAGAGGGTTTCATTCCTCCCAAGAGAGATTTATTTTTGCCCTTGTGACTAATGACTAATGTTTAAGACTTTGCTATGTTTGGAGATTATCACTGCAATCGCTTTTTAAATTGGCCTTATTTTCCAAGTGTATTTAATGTGTGTTTTGGACACAGCACTTACGTTGGGACCCCTCTGGCCTGCGCCTCCCTGTTGTCCTGCGGGACCCTGTGTTACAGCACAAATGACAAGACATTAATGAAAGAAATGTAATTTCCTGACAACGTATCATCCCGATTTAAAGCCGCTACTTACTTTCTTCCCTTTCTCCCCTGCAGTTCCAATTGAACCAGGGAATCCATCAGAGCCCTGGAGAGGAAGACACACACACTTATAGTTTGTATGAGGATTACATTTACTACATTATTTCTGTTGCTTCTATATAACAGAAACAATCTGTTGGGAAAATACTGAATGTACTCTTCCAATATCAGAGTACTCATGATAACAAAGGCCCTACGTAGCTGTGTACATAACAGGATGTATGATTACCTAGAAGTGCGTCAGGACTGATTTAGCATATGATAGCCTATGTGACAACAATTAACATGATGATTCAGCCTCTAGAGAGGTAGACATATGACAAGCATTATCATTTCTGACGTGGGTCTTAGCTAATCTGAACTAAACATAGAATACTGCTTTGAACCGGTATTCCTCCATCTTGTGACTGTGTAACTCCCTCTCTTGTATATCAGCATGTGAAGGACACTATATACCAAATGCTCTGTGTGTGATGACTACTTCCATTCTTGAGAGGATAATAAATACATGGATTCTGATATTGAAGCTCAAGCCGGTGACGAGTGATATTTTCCTAACACAATCATTTGGCATTCTTTTATTTATTTTGTATCTTACCTTCGGCCCCAGTCGCCCTGGATATCCTGGAAGTCCAGGAACTCCCAGTTTACCCTAAAAAAGAAGATTCACAATGTGACTAATACCTCGTCCTGTACACTTTTTGTGAGGAGAGAAGGGAAGAGTTCATGATTTGGGGCTTTTGAGTAAAAGCATATGAGGCTTTCTCTAACAAAAGTCTGGTGGAAATGGTAGGTTTTTTAAAGAAACATTGCGATCAGCCGACTTTTTACTGCAAGTATGAATTCCTCTGTATTGGTTTATGTAAGAATGTACCCTGTTTTCCTAATAATACTTTATTTTCATATCTAAAGAAAAGAAAAAATTGGCTGCATTTAACAGATTTGTGTTTCCTGAGGCTTGTTACGAAAGCGTCCTGGGACAATGACTAAATGAAAGTAAAAATGATGAGCCTCCCCGATGGTTTAAGCTATGTTAAATGAATCGGCATCGAGCACAAATATGTATTTTATTCAAGTATATGTGACTAATACCTCGTCCTGTACACTTTTTTATGACACGTTTGGGAACTTCTCAAACAAACCAATGTGACGGTAAATGTTCTCTGTACCTTCTCTCCAGAGGTACCCGATTGTCCGAATTCTCCCAGAGTCCCCGTCGTTCCTTTGGGCCCCTCGGGTCCGTCTTCTCCTCGGCCTCCTAGGACTCCGTTGTCTCCAGCGTCCCCCTTTGTGCCATACTCCCCTTTGGATCCTGGGAAACCATCTTCCCCCTGCGGACAGAAGGAATCAGGAGACAGAGACAGAGAGTCAGAGCTGGAAGTGAAAAATCAGCATGTATACTGTGGTTGGTTTGTAGGGGAAATGTGTTGTTTGGTCAATAAAACACCCTGAATGGACGCAGACTGCAACTCCTTTCTGTCTTCCTCACCTTTTCTCCTTTGCTTCCTTTTAATCCTCGGATTCCATCTGCTCCCTGTCAAACAGGACAGACAGAACAAACGGGAAGTCAACACACACATGAAATGATGACTAATGATCGATTAGCCAGCTGTTTGTAAAATCTTCAAGAGGTGGCGAGCATATCAAAAATTATTATTCAACATTATATCTGACTTTTGGCAATGAAAATCATATTATGTTTAATCCTAAGAGATTTTGTGGAAATTAGTTTTTCTAAAATAAAATACAGCCTCATATTAAGATGGACAAAAACACTATTGATTTGATTTAATCAAAAGGGTGACATCAGATTTCTTCAAACACTAAGAGACTATGAAATCCATTAGGTTATTTTAAAGCCAGATAATTGTCAAAGAGTCCGTTTTTTATTTTATTAAACAAAACAAGAATATTTCACTTTTGCATTTCCTACCTTGACTCCTCGTTGTCCGGGGTAACCAATGGGTCCCTGCACTCCTAAAGGACCCTACAAAAGAACATATGGAGTTAGATGAAATGATTGAATATAAGGGTACAACCAGCAATCTGTTGGCAAAAAGACTGGAAACAGTGGGAAACAGTTAGCTATTAATTTGTTAAATAAATAAGATAATCCTCCTCCCAGCTTCTCTTGAACTCACACCTTATATCTCTCTAGTTATCTGTAACTACAGTAGCACAACATGTTTCTGACAGACTTACCGGCAGTCCTTTTTCCCCTGGAGTCCCTTCTCTTCCGGGGTGACCCTGTTGACAAGAGGACATGTTAATATCTGTCGTTGTGATTTTAGGGATAGGATTAAGGACAGAGGAATGTACTGTATCAATAAGAGTCCTCCTATGGCTCTAACATGAGTACAAACATGCGCCTCAGGAGCCTCCGGTCCAAGACCAGCAGGTTCAGGGTCAGCTTCTTCCCCAGGGCTGTTACCCTGCTGAACTCTGCCCGCTGATAGACTCAAGCCCATACCCACCACCCACCTGGTTATATATTTTACTGTCAATGCCGTTTACACTGTATATATTCATCTGTTTATAGCCTATTTATAATTATTCTATTTATAAAAATTCCATGTATAATTATTCTCATTATGTAGACTCCTGCACTGCTATTTTGCACTTCTGGTCAGATGCCTAAACTTACATTTCGTCACTAGTACATGTACTATGTAATGACAATAAAGTTGAATCTGAATCTGAATCTGAGTACTCACAGAGGGCCCGTCGTTTCCAGCTAAGCCCTGCGTCCCTTTCTTCCCTTGAGGTCCCTGTAAAGCAAAGATCAGCCCGTCAATCAAGACTCCTTCTCCCTAAAGGGAAACAACTCTGAGGAACAGTGTCTTACCTTCTCTCCTGGCAGCCCTACTAACCCCTGAGGACCAGGAAAACCCTGCAGGAGAGATGGAGCATTAGTCAATTAATACATTTACTGTCCTGCTGATATTCAAAATTAAACGACAGCGTTCAGTTATTATGCTCCTTATATCCGGAACAAAAGTTCAGAAACCTGCAGGTCATGAATAACTATCATGTCTTTTAAATCAAAACTGAAGACAATTAAATCAACTTCACTGTAACTTGTTGTTATTGAATTTAAAACCTTATTCTTAGTCTTATTCTAGTTGAGCTTTTTTTTCAATTTGGAAATGACTGTTTTCAGATGCAATAACATTTGATTGTATAATGTGTTTCTGTTGTCGCGTTGATTTGCCCTGTTGTTGCAAAGTGCTGTACAAATAAACTGGCCTTGCCTTTACTTCAGACAGATAGGTGCATATCAGTATGTAATAAAATAAAGACAATAAGAGAATAACAACACAGAGATACAATCAGTTCAGTTCATACTAGAGATGAAATGAATGAAAACACATTTAGACATTTGTTGTATGTTTCCAAACGTTTAAAAAACTAAGCCATTATTATCATTTTTCTTTTGTATAATTAAATGATAAATGTGTACACAAAATATTTCAACACAGCATGAAGGTGAGAACATTTCTAATCAAGGACTTGGCACTCTGAATGCATCATTAATATCTCTGTATGAACGGAGTTATTGTTGTTGTCTCTTCGTACCAGAATGCCAGGGTTGCCTTGCTGTCCGTTAGCTCCGACCTCTCCGGCGGCTCCCTGTTACAAACAGGAAATGATGTCACGGGAAGTCATTTCTTATCAGAAATGTGTTGCTTCTACACATAATATACTCACTATGTTTCCCTTTGAACCCTGACCCCCGTCAATCCCTCGAATGCCCTGTGAGGAGAGAAGGAAGAGTTCATGATTCTGGGCTTTTGAGTAAAAAGCACTTTCTATTCCAAAATAATGTGAGACTGGAGGAAATTGTATGTTTTTTTTAAAAGAAGATTACGATCAGTCAACTATTTACTGCAAGTAAGAATTCCTCTGTATTGGTTAATGTAAGAATGTACCCTGTTTTCTTATTAAATTGCTTTTTCATGTCAAAAATAGGCTGCATTGAACAGATGTGTGTTTCTTGAGGCTTGTAACGTGAGCGTCCTCGGACAATAACTAAATGAAAGTAAAAATGATGAGCCTCCCCGATGGTTTAAGCTACACCACCTCCTTGCTTAAGGCACTTAATGTTAAATGAATCAGCATCGAGCACAAATATGTATTTTATTCAAGTATAAAAATGCGTTCCTGTGTGTTATCAGATGCATACAAGTGCTAACTCGTGTTTCTACAGATGTAAATTAGAAGAATGTTGTATTTGGAACAGGGACTTTTTATCAGATGAGATAAGGATTATATAACATGATGTTAACAGATGGAAAACCACAGTTGACATGATGATTATACATGATCTTGTGCTATCATCAAACCACAGTCAGATGTTATGTTGGTGGTGGGGAAAGCCCTGCAGGAGTAAACACAGAGGAGTCATAGCAGGATAATGATGGGTTTCTTGGGTCTTTTTATCTGTAAAGGGTAGAGATTAATGTGTTTGTAACAGCATTGTGTGTGTGTGTGTGTGTGTGTGTGTGTGTGTGTGTGTGTGTGTGTGTGTGTGTGTGTGTGTGTGTGTGGTGTGTGTGTGTGTGTGTGTGTGTGTGCAGAGGTGGGATGTGTGAATAAAAAGGAAATGTCTCACTCACAGGTTGACCTTGGGGACCAGCACGACCTCTGGGGCCGTTCAGACCTCTGGAGCCCTGGAAACAAATCACAGTTACACTTAAGTTAATATGTTATGGAGTGTGTGTGCCTTCAGACTTCTATGTTTGAGAGGACCTTTTTAAAAATGTGATCTTAATGCAGCGTCCACACGGTGGCGTGCGTTGAAGCTTGCCGGTGGGCGTGTCTGAAGATCGACCAACATCCAATCACATGAATCTCCCGCCCCGGACACACAAGCACGCAGTTTGATTGGCTAGAGCTTGTACTGGCATATGATTTGATTGGCTGACGCTTCCGTCGAAGCTTCAAAAGTAGAACATTGCTCTACTTTTGAAGCGAGCAATGCGAGCAAAGCGAAGCGACGCTCCACAATGCAGTTCGGCAAAGTGTGACGTCACCCCATTCAAAGTGACATGGGCAGAAGCGTTTGAAGCTGTGTGGACGGGCCGTAAGAGAAGAACATAAGCTCTCAAGCACAGAGCATGGACATCTACAGTATGTGTATTGGGTGTGTGGCAGGGGCTTCATTTAACAGAAATGTAATTGTGTTTTTATTGTTCTTACTGTACGGACTTTGAGTGTAAACAATATTCTCATCAACTCAAGAAAGATATTTTTGTTTCTTATACATCAAACTATTTCCTTCAATGTTTAGATATAGAAGAAGTTGAGGTTGTGCATGTAGTTTTAAAGAAGAGTTTTACATCTGATTTTAAATATAGTGCTATTTATCAATGTCAGTTGCAGAGTGTTTGAGCAGTGGCGAACCGTGGCCATCACAACTGGACCTTCTGTAGGACACCACACACCCCCCCCCCCCCTCCCCTCCGCGGCATTATAATGTCCGTCTTTTCACTGAATTGTCGTCTTGAAAAGGGTACTCACAACAACTCCGCAACAACATCATCTACACCTGTTGCACTTGCCATTTTCAACGTTAAAAACAATAAAACGGCAATGAATTGCTTCGTCGCATTCTAGATTCCTCTGTCTCGAGCCAGTTAAACTAGCGGAGCCTTCTAGAATACCCTGGAACCGAGGGAAACTCTGAAAGAACACGCCCATTGGCTACAAATCAATATATGATTGGTTGATCAAACTGTCAGTCCAAACGTACGCTCTCATTCAGCGCAACGGCCAGGGCATTCGATCAAGGATGTAGAATACCTTGTGAAGGATATTCTACCCAGAGACCCAGAAACAGATCTGATTGGTTGCTTTCTTTTCTAACACAAAACCACTGAAATGCGTAGTGCATGGTCCGAGAAGGACCAAACAAATCAACGTAACACTGTAATATTACAGATCAACAACACGGATACGATTCTCATTTATTCATTTTATATACATTTTATTTATATAATTAAATCGATTTTTTGTTGTTTTTATCTGAGGGTTCCAGGGTATTCTCTGAATACCCTTGAAGGCCCCTGACGGTTCGCCACTGTGTTTGAGATATATTGAATGTTGACTCAATTTAAATGGAACTAGATGGTACTTTGTTTGAGGTCCTCAAAGCGCCCAAGAAAGATTGAAGGGCTCAAAAGCAATGTCCCTTTTTCTGAATAAATAGCACTTCAAGTAAGAGGAAAAATACCTATTTTGTGTGGTGGTAAGAAATGCCTTGGATTGAGTAGGGTCTCCATATGCATAAATACACAGTGTGTGTGTGTGTGTGTGTGTGTGTGTGTGTGTGTGTGTGTGTGTGTGTGTGTGTGTGTGTGTGTGTGTGGTGTGTGTGTGTGTGTGTGTGTGTGTGTGTGTGTGTGTGTGTGTGTGTGTGTTTCTGGACTAATGGCACAATTCATTGTAGTGGATTTTAAATGAGCAATTTTATCATATACAGTACATTGTGTTTTTTTTTCATTTTGACTTTACAGGATCTCCGGGTTGTCCTCTTGGCCCATGCGGCCCCTCGGAGCCCTGAGAGAAAACACAACACTGAATACATCTTGTCCTAACACAAACCTGCATAAAGATGAATACACACAAACACACAACCTCTCACCTTTTTCTCCCAGACTCTCCAGAAGAACCTACAAGACCTGGCTTTCCCCTGGTCGCCCTGAGAAACACACACAACACACACATACACACACACACACACACAACACACACACACACACACACACACCACTACACACACACACACACACACACACACACACACACACACCACACACACACACACACACACACACAAACACATCACACACACACACACACACACACACACCACACACACACACACACACACACCACACACACACACACACACACACACACACACACACCACACACAGAAGTTGATATTATGTGTGTTATGCATTGTCTGCTGATCACTTATTCAGACAGGTAACTTACCTTATGTCCTTGGTTTCCAGGGAGACCTGGTAAGCCATCGAACCCTCTGTCCCCCTGAGAGAAACAGACATGTTAGTTCATATTTAAAAAGACAGAGCGGTAAGTGAACAGCGTGACATCAGGTCTTCTTTACCTTTGATCCGGTCTCTCCGATCGCACCTCGACCGCCGTCTGTACCCTCTTGCCCCTGATGAACACACGTTAGACAAGGTAGAATCTTAGCTTAGAGACTGTAAAAAGAGCTACTGAGACTGTTAGATCACCACTCTGTAGAAGGACAATATATCTTTCTTATATTTATATACAGTATTATTGCAGATTGCCATGTTTAATGTCTGCGTCTGGATCAGTAGCTGTACTTTTATTTTGTGTACCTTTAAAATCCTCCTTCATCCACATCTGGGATTTGAATTGTCTTTGGTGTATTTATATTTGTTATACTTTAATATCATTTTTATTTATGTATTTTAATGCCTCTCAATCTGCTTTCCCTAAAATGACTCCTTCATTTCACTGGTGTTGTATATTTACTTTTTGTGAAGCACCCTGAGGCAAATGTGTGATTTCTCATATTGGGCTACAACAATGAAAAAAATATGGATTCATATATTTATATATAAATGAATTTAAGAGATATTGCTGCTCTGATCGTAAAATATCTTCTAAAATGTGTTCATGTCAAGAATACTGAATTTTCTTTTCATCGGTTTTCCAAAACAATGCATTGATAAACTTCAATAATGAAAAACTCTGCTGCCAGTTTCTTTTGGGATGGATTTGTTTACAAAGCGTGAAGTGGTTTAGAGCCGTCTTAAATGATTAATTCTTTGTTGGTTCAAAATGTGGCAGTTTAGCCTTTATTTATACCCAACAATACAATGTATTCTCTACACAAGGATAACGAGAGAAAAGCAATTGAGAACTTATTTTATTCAGCATTGCCTCAACTAGCTGTCACTTTTACTTTGTGTTATCTTATTACATGTTACTTACGTATTCCTTTGTTGTGTTGCTTGTTTTTTTTTGCACAGTACTTAGTTGTAAATCAATTCGTATTTGAAAAGGTGCTCTTTAAATGTTTAGGTTGATTATCGTGATTATAATAATAAGAAAGACTCCATTCCCAGCCTCACCCTTTTCCCTGACCGTCCGTTCAGACCGGTGATACCTGGGCAGGTCCGTGAGGAACCCTAGGGAGGAGGAAAAGGGAAGACAGCGGATGAGACGGATCTCAAATGAATTCAAGTGTGTCACAAGAGCAGTGAGGTGCTGAGTGTGTTGCTATGACAACAGGCTAACTCACCTTTGGCCCAGAATCTCCACTGGCACCCTTCAGCCCCGAGGCACCTGGTCCACCCTGAAGAAGTGAAGAAAAAAAGGGATCCATTGTCTGCAGAACGGGGGGTGTGTGTGTGTGTGTGTGTGTGTTGTGTTGTGTGTGGTGTGTGTGTGTGTGTGTGTGCATGAACTGTACGAGTCTTCCTAATATTGAAATCCTCAGCTTCAGTCACTTTCATTTCCTGTAACTCAACATATATCCATTTTATTGGCTTTTTCCTTTGTTTCCATCTGCACTCCGTCTGCTTTGAGGGGGTTTCTTAACTTACATTGTGGCTCTTATTTTAGGAAGTAAGTTCAAAAGTATTTTGCAATCACCACCATTAATAAAGAAGGACTTCCGTCTAGCCACGGCAAAGAAGTGTTTAATTACATTACGTTATCTTTAAAAACGTGTAAATTGACTTGTCGTAGTAGTATGATTAAACGACATCCCTTTATACATAATCATGTAAAAATTAATTCTGCTGTCTATTCTCAAACCAATTATCCATCCTTCACCAAGAGCTTTCACATCATCTGATTTATGGAGAAAGTCTCTCGCGGACATAAATCACTAACCAGTGGTCCAGGTCTTCCCCTGAGGCCGAGTGGCCCTGGAGGTCCCTTCATAGCCAGCTAGAAGAATAGGAGGAAGTAAATGTCAGACCACACAAACTGTAGTTCCACATCAGCTCTCGGTGTGTGTTTTCAAGACGTAACGGGAATATTTCAAAAAATGTTGTACCCTTGGTCTGCTGCAAAATGGCCTGAGCCTGAGCCTCCCTGCGCAGATACCCCTGTTTCCCATCTTAGGATCTCCCCCACACACACACACACACACACACACACACACAACACACACAACACACAACACACACCACACACACACACACCACACAAACACACACCACACACACACCACACCACACCACACACACACACACACACACACACACACACCACCACACACACACACAACACACACACACACACACACACACACACACACACCACACACACACACACACACCACAACACACACACACACACCACCACACACACACACACACACACCACCCACAAACTCAATACTCCACCTAGTGGCCGATATGTAGCATTGCTATGTTGCCTGTATGTGGTGCAGACAGTTAAAACTAAAGGAAACATTTGAATAACTTACAGCATGCATAACACTTTTATATAAGACAGAAAAAAGTCCCTGAACAATATCAAAGTATGAAAATGATGTGAATTAAATATCACCTTCAAAGAACAAAATAATTCTAATGGAGGATCTTACTAGCTGTATGATTTGACACAATTGGACCAAACAAACATATCGAGCTGCACATTAAAGCAAACAATTTAAACATTTAATCGACACCTATATAGCATATTTGTTTCATATGGGTTCTGCGGAGTTGAGTGAGAGCCAGGTGATGTAACCATCCCGAGGCAGCACATTTCTCAGTAATGACGTTCAGACTGATTTGTTCCGAGGCTACGGTATGGGTTAACAGGACCAAATATCTTAGCTGCGAGGCCTCGGGCTGAGCAGACGAGCTTCTGCTGTTACCGGTATGAGCATGATGTTTCCTGGGGGACCGGGGATCCCATCGGCTCCGTTAAGGCCTGGCCGCCCTGAAGGGCCCTGAGAGGAGACAGAGGAGAGGGAACGTCAAGGGGAACAGGACTGGGACTCACACACACACACACACACACACACACACACACAGCGAACAGTCCTCACCAGCTCTCCAGCGTCTCCTCGAGGTCCCACTGATCCTGTGACTCCTAAGGGCCCGGTCTCTCCCTGCACAGAGAGAAAAAAACATAAAAAGAAGACGTGAGATTTAATTGAATATATTTATATAGTCGAACCTCCTGCATTAAAGTGTTAAATAAAAAAACTGCTTTCAACTTTGCGCACTTGTATATGTACCATGATATCCTACGATTGTATTTGTATTAGCAGTATATTAGTCTTTTATACTGTTTTGTGTAAACTTTATACATTTTCTACTAGGTATATATTAACTGCTTATCTTTATTTCAATTTTATTTTTCACTTGGGTGCAACGACTTGGTAATCTGCTGCTGTTTTCCCACTTTGGGATCATTAAAGTCCATCGAATCTTATCTTAATTATTATATATTTAATAGCAATCTTCCACTCTAAAGTCACTGCAGTTGCATCTGACTCTCCCATGCTACACGGGTGTTTTACCTGAATACTTAGAAACATGTGTTCAAACGGTTCATGTGATGCAGGATTCACTCACCTCTGGTCCTGGAGGCCCGGAGGATCCTGTGATCTGCGTCCCCTGAAGACATTTCACAGTGTTGTTTGGTTAAGGTGTTAGATCCAGACAGAAGGAGGGAGATACTCATATATGAGAGGCTAACAGGACTGATAAGACAGTGGAATTTAAATGCATATGAAATGAATCCCTTCCTTAAATTCTCTATAAAAACAATTAGGAAATTGTCGTATACTTTATTATCCCAAAAGGGAAATTCTTCTAGAGCAAAAATAAGATTAGAACAAATAGACAACAAGACAGTACAGCGGTAGACCAAAGGTGCAGCGTGTATATGCCCTGAAATAAAAGACATCAATGAATAGGTAATATAAACATTTCAATGTTTAATTCGCAAATAAAAAAACAGAAAACACCATTAATGCAAAACTCATAAAACAAGTAATAATAACATATCCTGATCGTTAAACTTTAACATTGTAAAATATTGTTATACAATATTAAGAGGGTAGTAAAGTGGAAAACTCGTTATTATTGATGGTATGTATATCGTCATATCATTTTTCGGTCCGGCTGTACCCAAACCTCTTTCAAAAACTTAGAACATTTGGAGGTTTAAACTAATTTCTTGCAAAACTTTAGATTTTTCTTTTATCTTAAATCAGGAAATATCTGGTCAACCTGCACACGATGTTGGGCACAATGTCTCGCCTGTGTGGTGGTGTTTGTGTGTTTTATGCCATTGTGTGTTTTTCTCACCGCTCCCAGAAAGCTTGGCTCTCTTTCTCTCCTTTCTCTGGTAAATTCTGACGAGAGGAGACGAATAAAGACGTATTAACAATGATGTCTCTACACAGGATGAAATGATGCGTAACTGCACAAACTCTAAGTGTGTGATAGTTGTAGTCGGTACCCGTGTGTTAAGAGAATACTCCCGCTCCCTCTCGGCGTGTCCGTAGCGGTCGTCGTATTCGTCTTCGTACTCGTACTCGTTCACCTGTTCATATTCCGTGTGTTGTCGTAGTCTTCGTACTCCACGATCTGTCCGGCGAAAGCGTCCGCAGAGACAGATAAATGAGGGTCAGAAAAAGACAAGAGGAAATTATAGAGACTAGAAAAAGTTTGTGCTCAGAGCCTCACCTCGTACTCGGTGTCATTAGGACCCGCTGTCGCCGTGGAAACAGAGCGGTCCTCATACAGGTCGCTGTAGTCAAACTCCTCAAACTCTCCGCCACATGTTTCTTAGGTTTCCTCTCCACCTGAAGGCCATGGAAAATCAAAGCAGAGACGGTGCATAATGTAAGCATGTGTTAGGTGTTGTTTACATACATGCAAATAATATTGATATGTATTAATATAACTGATTAAAATGAAATGTCAGTGCTTGATAGAGTACTTTAATTAGCTTCGAATACTTTCCCCTGAAGAGCAGAGCCATATTATTCAAGTGTTTAGTATGTATTACTCTTATGAAATGTCACTTCAGTTTATTTATTTTGATACATTTTAATAGATTATTCTACCATGTATTTATTTAACTATTATAATGGTTTTTTAATTCAGTTTCTTTTTCAGTATGGAATAAATGTCATGTTAGGTTTAAAATAAGATATATAACAACAAATTATATTAATAATAATTAAAATAACAATAAATATGTTTATTATTTAAAATCTTTATCTTTCCTTCAATAAAACATATAAATACATACAATTAATTTAACTTAAAGAAAATGTTTAAAACTGTATGTATGTATGAATGTAACATGTGTATATGTGAGTTTGAGGACACAGAGGTTGCTTATTAAGATATCAGATTCATGAAGTAGTCCCATCAGGCTGAGTTACATTAAACATAAAAACATGCAAAGGCCGCACATGGTACAACTACAGCTCAGTCCTTTTTACTTCAGATTCTTCAGGATAGACTGTTTGAGCACTACAGCTTTATCAGAAGACACTAGGGCACATGTGTCAAACTCAAGGCCCGGGGGCCAATCAAACCGTGGGGGATTTAATTTCGGCCCGCAGGATAATTTCTAATACTATTAGATCTGGCCCG